GGTCTTGACTCAGGCCTGGGAAGACCACCACTGCAACTTAAAATCAATTAGCTAAATGAAACTTGTTAAAAACAAAAACAAATAAACAAACAAACAAAAAAACTTGCCAAAAGTCTTTAGCTGGATTCTAGGGCTGCAAATATCCCTGTCACATGAGGCTGCATTAAAATAAGATGAAGTCTAAGCCTGACCTATTTTGGTTACCTAGAGAAGATTAGATAATGAAATACATTAATCTTCACTGCAATATTCATTCATTATCATAGTGTATATTCTATAATCTGGGAGTATTTTTGGCCTTTGAAAGACATAAATGATGCTTTTTTTCCCATTCTTAGAGATAGGTCACTTCCTCTGAGTCAAAAAAAATTTTTTTAAGATTTATTTTTACTTATTTATACATACAAGAACTGGCGTGTAGGCCAGAGGTATGGGGAGGGGGTGAGAGGATTCACCAGGGTGCGGAACAGAACAGGCAGATTTACTAAAATACACTGCTGAGGGTAGCAGCAGGTGAGCCCGGAGAGGTCTGCTGCGCCATGTGGATTAGCTTCCTGGCTGGGGATCGACCTCATGCTACATGGCTGGCAACAGCTTGATAGCACTGAGACTTAACTCCTGCACCATGAGGGAGTCAAACTGTCAAAGCAGAAAGTTGTCAATTCACCTTTTTTCATGTAAGACTTTTCTTCTTTTCACAATGAAACAGAAGACCCAGTGAGAGTGACTTGCCCAAATCACAAAACGAAAAGTAACAAGAACTTGAGGCATTTTTGTCACATTAGACCATTCTGCCTTATTTACTTTTTGTGAAACAAAATAAAGATTTTGCTTTTTCCAACTATTTCCTGAAAAACTTAGATTCTTATTCTGTTTCTGGAAAGAGCACAGATCTGGTTTCTTTAATGGTAACTCAGAAACCTGGTATGAGGTATTCAGAGACCTGTTACAGTAGCTGGTGAGAACATCATTCTCATTATTATTATTATTATTATTTTTAAATTGGCATTTTATTTTTATTTTTTATTTTTTTAAAAAAGATTTATTTATTTATACAAGAACTGGGGTACAGACCAGAGGTGCAGGAAGATAAGAGGACTCACCAGAGACAGAGTGGGGAGCAGAATGGGCAGATGGACCAAAGACACTGCTGAGGGGGTCAGCAGGTGAGGCAGGAGAGGTCTGCCACACCATTTGGGTTTCTCCCTGGCAGGCCGGGAACTGAATCTGCATTGCAGAGGCTGAGGACAGCTTCACAGTGTGGCGTTCAACCCACTGTGCCACCAGGGAGGCCCATTCCCATTATTATTGATAGACTGATCATATGAGAATTTTTCTCTACTGTAAATCTGTAACTGGTTAAGAATTTGCAAAGTCACTCTGGATTATAAGGGGGGAAAACGAGATAATCTAAGTTTTAAGAGGGAGCTTAGAAAGTGGGTAAGTAAAGCTGGCCAAGGTGGAACTGTGATTTTTCACTGATCTTAAGAAATGAGTTAAACTAAGCACTCCACAGGCAAGTTTCAGGAATCAGGAGAGATCTGAAAGTAGGAGTTAAGTTTGGCAAGAGGCTACACAATGGTGGAGTGCACCTGCCCTAGGTCCTATGACAGAGAGTTAAGTCCAGTGACTCACTTAAAATATTAAGAAACTTATCCTGCAAGAACTGTATCTTATGATAAAGCACAGGAACAGACAAACTGAACAATGGGTCAGAATATGGAGTCTAGAAAAGATCCATACATATGCCAGTGGTGGTATTACAAGAGGGGAAGGATAGACAATCCAATAAATGCTGCTATGACAGCTAGTTTTTATGACAGCTAGTTTTTACACATATTCAAAAATAAATTCAAGAATGAATGAAGCCATGAATATTAAAGCAAATCTACAGAATTTTGAGAAGAAAATATCAGAGAACATTGTTGTAATTTCAAGGTAGAAAAGCATTTCTCATACAACCCAGAAAGGAAAAGAATGTCATAGCTGATTACATAAAATCTGAAACTTCTGAATACCAAAAGACATCACAGAGAGAAAAGCTATGCCACAGACTGACAGAAAATATTTATAACTTGGGCCTCCGTGGTGGCGCAGTGGTTGAGCACTTGATTGCGAAGCTGTCCGCAGCCTCTGTAGCACCGGTTCAATCCCTAGACACCGGGTAAGGGTCCCACATGGTGCGTAGACCTCTCCTGCCGCCCGCTGCTCCCCTCAGCAGTGTACTTTGTCACTCTGCCTGCTCTGCTCCCCACTCTGGCTCTGGTGAATCCTCTCACCTTCCCGTGCTTCTGACTCTACCCAGTGCTTGTATAAATAAATAAAAATTTATTTTTATAAAAATAAATTTTTTTAAAAAAAAAATTTATAATTTGCAGCTGAAAATGACTAATATCCAGAAAACATAAACAACTCCAGAAATTGAAAAGGAAAAGAAAACAAGAGGAAAATGGTAGAAGTAAAATAGGCAATTCACTAACGAGGAAACCCAGATTGCCAATGTTGATAGATAGTAAAGCTGCTGAACCTTACTAGTAATCTAAGAATAAAATACTTGGCATTATTCTATCATATTTTATAGCCATAAGGCATAAATTAAAATACCTGGCGATGACAATGTTAGCAAGGTTGTGGAACGTTGGAACTCTCACTACTTTGTAGGTAGTTACAGACTCTGGAGAGCAATTAGGCTGTATACAATAAAGGAAAACAATTTGGTCATTCTGATTCCATTATATACTCTACAGCATCATTTTCCACATGTGGTAGTCCCTAGAACTATAGCTTCAGCATCACCTGAGGAACTGGAAATGCAAATTCCTGGGCCCCACCCAGACCTACAGAGTAATCTGTGTTTTAACAAGCCCTTCAGGTGATGCTTTTATGTGAGAGTTTGAGAATCACTGCTTTGCAGTCCCTCAACTAGAATGTACAAATGAATTATAGGTCTGAGGACAGAACCCCAGAGCCAGTCCACCTAATAGCTACATGCAGCCTTCTGCTTTTCACTGCATGCTGTTTGAAATAACAATTTTTTATATGACCAGGAATATGTGCAAAAGAAGCATGCACACCAGCACTATTTTATCAGTGAAAATCTGGACTAAAAGTGTCCATCAACAGTATATTTAGTTTGCAAAACTGTGATCTTGTCATACAATGGAATGCTTGACATCAGGGAAAATGAATGAGCTAGGACTGAACTTGGAAAATGATAATCATCTCAGTGTGCAAATTAGATAAATTGGGAATTCCCTAGGCAAGAATCAGGAGCTAGCAGAGGTTTGAAAGTGAATAAACAAGGAATAAATCTGAAAATAATACTGAGTGAAAATGAACAATGTGATACCATGTCTGTGAGTATAAAACAAGCAATACCAGATACTACTTATGGACACATGAATATATAGTAAATGTACAAAAGCATGCATTATATAATAATAAACTCATTATGAAGATCTCTGGAGAATGAGAGGATCATTGGGGTCATGGGGTGGCATATGGGTACTATACTGAATTACTTTATATATTTGGTTAAGTGGTAGATTATTTGTTAAATATCTGAAATATTTATCATAATAATAAAAAAAAAATCAAAAACCTGAACTATTTGGAAAGTACCTTCTGAATTCTTTATAGTGACTAAGCTTCAGGCAAAATTAATTTGGAGAAACGCCAAACCAATAACCAGTGGACACAGGAGAAACATGTACCCAGATATATCCTTTCTTAACTTCAGGCACTATTAAGATGAAGACTTATATATTGTAGGCAACTCTGCCTTTATAGGTACAAACTATTAGTAGTTTTGGAAAGGGTATGATTTGATTAATGTTCCAATGTATTTTCTAAAAAATGAGCCGAGTTCTAGTCCTGATTTGATGCTAAATATGTGATTATGAGTTCTGACGTTCTCATACATAGTTTTCTTTTGTCTATGAAAATCTTTCATATTAAATGTATAACTGAGCATTCCTAAAAGATTTTTGTTTTTGTTTTTTTTTCCCAAAAGATTTTTCTAGTCTGTGCAGATATCTTGGTTGAATTCATGTTTATCTGACATTTATGGAATCATTTTGAGGTATGCTATCCCACTGAATGAACAGTGCAGAGCTTGTAACATTTAGTACAATGGTGCATGAAATGCCAGAGCAACTTTCGTCCATTTACAAGATTGCTCTCCAATAGCTCTTTTTATTTTGAGATGGCATCTGTGAATGGAGGGATTCTGCTCTAGAACAGACCATTAAATATATCTGTCTTATAGAGCCAACTCTTTCCTTAGAATAACCTTTGGAGAATGCCACAGGACACTAAAGGTACAGAGCAGCTTTTGGCAAAGGTAACAAAATATTCCACTCTGGTCATCATTATGGGGAATCCAAGTGATGATTCACATACAAAAAGAGGCCTATAAAGCCTAAGGCCACTTTCCAGATACTGGGAACTTCAGGTCAGAAATGTAGCAATACAGGAATATACACGAATCTTCTGAGTTATTAGAGGTTAAGGCTTCCACTTTGTCATTTAGGACTCTACATATCATCTCCCACCTTCCAAGGCCACTATTATGCAAGTTTCATAAATATTTAATCTCAAAACGCTGTCTTAAATTTGGGAGTATCACCAAGATTTACTCTTAATTTATTCCTACTAATTGCCTTGCTGTTCCTAGGTTAGGAAATATTTTTAGTCACTGGAGAACTACTTACTATGAAAAGGAGGCAAAATTAACTAATGCTATGCTGATTTTGGGACTTTTATTATTGCTTAATCACTCAGATGCAATCAAAATTCCCAAATAATCAAAATGTAGTATAGCGACAGTAAGCTTCTGTGTCCTAGTTCTAGATGAGTGGGTCTCAAACTCTGGCATAGATTAGAGTCATCTGAATGTCTTGTTAATATAGATTATTGGGGCCTTCCTCTGGAGTTTCTGAATCAGTAGATCTTATTTTATTTTTTAAAAAGAGTTATTTATTTTTAAAAAATTTTAAAGCTATTTATTTATTTATGCATACAAGAACTAGGGTGTAAGCCAGAGGTATGGGGTGGGGGGTAAAAGGATTCACCACAGAGAGTGGGGGAGCAGAACAGGCAGATGTACTGAAATACACTGCTGAGGGGAGCAGCGGGTGAGACAGGAGAGGTCTGCTGCACCATGTGGGTCAGCTCCCTGACCAGGGATTGAACTCATGTTGCAGTGGCTGTGATAGTGCTGTGTCTTTAACCCTTATATCACCATGGAGGCCCCCTGAATTGGTAGATTTTAGGTGGGGTTTGGTAGTTTGCATAGGTGATAAAAATGCTGCTTAAGACTAAAGACATTCAGAAAGTTCTCCCAGGATGCTCAAATAGGCCTCTCCAGGGCGTCCAGAACATCTCTTCCAAGATGTGCCACTTTGGCTTGTAGTTTATTTTGAGCTAAGGTGAATGAAGGCCCTATGGACTCACAAGAAGCTTCTACCATTACCTTAACCACATAGAGGAGTGAAGATTGGGGGCATTATCCAGATTTAGGTTTATCTTCAGAAAAATACTTTTTATTGGCATAAACTAACTATATACAGGGCAATTATCTAGTTATAGTGCATCTGGATTTTGTCATGAGTCCGCCTCCTCTCTACTTGAAGCCTTAGGCCTCTATCCCATTCCTTAACTCAGGACAAAAACCCTTGGCTTGTTCTATTTACTCTAGAATTTAGAGGTATGTAGATTCGCCATACTTAGGTAATTAAATTTGTTCTCTTTCTCCTACTAACCTATCTGATGTTAATTTGATTGCTCAACCAACCTAAGAACCTATGTGGGGTGAAAGTTTCTCTCTGCCACTGTATTGCTGTCCTTGTACCATTATGAGGACCACTGATAATAGACTGGAGACCCTAGAGAGGCCAGGGCAAGTGGATAGCTTCTAGAAGCAGAATAGATTAGGAAAAGCCTCAGAGGAATAACGAAGGCTCCAGAGATATGGCAACAAATTCCAAAAGGGACTAATCAAACTCACTACCCCACCCCAACTAGGGGCAGAAGGACATTTCTTGACAAGGACTATATAGAAAAAGGACTCTCAGATAAGGACTGAGATGCAAGACGTAATTCTGGGCACAGAGACATTAAGGCAGAGTGAGTGAGACCACAGAGAACTAACCAATCACAGAGACTGACAGGGCTTTAGAATAATTAAGGAAAGAAGGTGTATATTTATATTTCCTGAGGCACGACCCCACTTCAGCTTCCTTGCCTCTCCCTGGCCTGGTTCCACCAGCCAGGGAGTCCCACTTTATTTCTGTTCCTTTTGTCCCTAATAAACTTTTCCTTTTATCTATTTTTCTAAATGAAATTTGCCTCTTTTTGCTTGCTTGCCTGAGCATCAGCAAAGTTTCTGCTGTGGTTTTATGAGACACCAAGCCGTAGTGGTCTAGTGGCTGAGACTCAGCACAGCTGTTGCAGCCTGGGATCAATTCCTGGTTAGGAGACAGACTTAAAAACCTCAAGATAGTATTACTAGGGAAGGTATAACAGGGTAGTCCCCAAGAAAAGGAGAAGTTCCAGGTTCCCTGCCCCACCCAAAGCTGAGCAGGGAGAATAAGAAGCTGCAGGGGAGACTGAGAAGGAAGGAAGCAGGATAGAGAGCCAGAAGGAGACCGGGAGGAGGCACATGGGGCAGAGAAACATGTGAAGAAACTGTGCTTGCCTTTTGGTCGTGGACTGGGTGACAAAGATGTGGGTGAGAGACCCGTGGGGAGGTGACAATGGCAGCTTTCATCTTGATTTTGATTTTGCTCTTTTCCTTCCTCGTTGTTTCTGATCCTTTTCTGTGGGTCCCCACTGAAAGGTGCTTTAGACCTGTGGCAGGCTTTGGGGCCTTGCTCTGGGCCAATCCTCTTTGGGTGGACTTTTACCCACAAAGGGATGGGCAACTTTGGGTGCTTGATTTAGAAATTATATTCTTTGTCTTTTCTGTGTTGTTGACTAATTGTATTAAAGTTCCTTTCCATTAAAGTCTTATATATTTTGTGTTGATGCAGCGGATGGCAGAACCTATTTAGAGCGGGCAGGTTTGGCGGTTGTAATGTACCCCTTTCCCTGCCCTGCAACATAGGTTCTTAGCTTCTTTAAACCTCTGAAATGGGGGCTGTGTCTAGGGGGAGACTCTACAACACCTCAGTTTGATATAAAAGGGGAGCACAGGGAAAATTAAATGAAGTGTTGCCTGAGAACCTAGTGTGTTATCTATACATGGTGCTGTAAATAAATGGTAGTTGTTATCACAATAACTCAAATTCAGTTTTAAAATTTAAAGCATGCAAGTTAATTTGCCTATATATGGCATATAAATTGTACAGGCATTTTCTTTTACATTACATACCCAAATTCCCTCATTTCAGGCAAGATATCAGTTCCACTTATAATGGCTGTAGTTTCAAATGAGAGAAGCCATTAATCCAGAAAAAACATGCATCAAAGAGCCAATGGTTCTGAATAGTTAATATGTAAGTATTTTTCATTGTATGTCTGCACAGAGCTTTTTGTGTTTGTATGGCGGAGAGAGGAATGCGTTGGTTGGGGGGGGGGTATCTTTATCTCTACACATTTAACAGCAGCAGAAAACTAAGGATCTCTCCAAGCAAAGATTGATTTAAAATCATAAAAACTTTTAAAAACTAATCCTGAATATCAGGATGAAAACCTCAAATTTACAGCCCAATTTTCCTTTCTATCAAACAGTGCTTGAGGAAAAAGGGCAGGAAAAGCTGAGATTTGCTGTGTTTATTTCAGTTTTGAAGCAGCATTTGCACTTCATGTTTCTTCTCTCTTCACAAAGTTAAGGACTCTGAGTACAGTCTCTGAAAAGTACCAAACAGGGGAGGGTCAGTGGCAGAATTTGGGTGGGGGCAAGATAGCAAGGGTATGTCTTTAACTTCCTCTTACCTCCAGGGGTCAAAGCTTTTCTTTTCACTTGCTAGTGTCCTGTAAACAGTTGGGTTCCATTCATTCCCACTTCAGCAGAGTGGTAATGAGATTAGCTTCTTTTCCCCCAGTCACACAGACAGCCTTAACAAAGCAACAGCACCCAGTGCCATGTGGAATCTTTCAGGCACAGCTCCGTATCCATCCCCCATCTTCTACTTTCCTTAATGCAGATGAGTCTTCCTCTCAGTGTGAAATTTCCACATTAAGAAGTTAGTTTGGTGAGAAATTTCTGGCTTGGCACCTGAGTTTTGGAAATTTTCCATTTTCATTTCTGATTTGGCACAAATAAGTCCCATTTTCTTGCAGGTTATCAACTTAATAATATGATGATAAAAATATAAACAACTTGTATTGAGTGCTTATTAGGTGCCAAATATTTTTCTAACCATTTTATTTCTAACATGCAATAATCTATTTAATATTTACAACAACTTTAAAAGGGAAATTGTACCATTGTCCCCACTTTAAAGAAATTGAGTCACAAGAAAATTAATTGCCTAAGGGCACAGTGCTCTGAGATGGTAAAATCCAGATTCCTGATCTTAATCATTACACATAAAGTATGATAGACTTTGGTTGGGGGTATGAATCATTATGGTGAATATACTTTTGCTACTTGAAATTGATGTCGTTTTTGGAGTTGATGGTTTTGGAGAACAGGGTTCTCCTTTAAGTTTTCTATTCTTTTCCTCCATCAAAATTAGGACACATGGGAAGAACATGATTGAGTCTGTCCTGGAAGCTCAGGTATATATGAGAAATCCAAACATGCAGGAGTCCAGAGGTGGTGGAAAAGACCTTTTGTGAGAGAAATGAGGACTCGAGGCAGGGGCCCCAAAGTCAGCCTGCCGCAAACCCTTTGTAAATAACACTTACTCAGGGCTGTCTGGATATCCTTTTCTCCATTTTTCACTTCTGTCAAAAATCCCTTCAAAAATTTGAGCCCTCTGAAACAAAAAGGGAGAGAAATGTTATTTTCAAAGTTCACTATGTTAAATGGGTATAAAGAAATGACAAGCACCAGCTTCTTTTTCAGTATCTGGGCATAGCAGTAAACAGGCAAATCCTTCAGCAGCGCTTTCTATCTCTCTTCTGTCATTTCCCTTTAGCTTGCCCTGGACCCTTCTCATCTAATATACCTCAGCAGTTGTTTTCAAATATGGTTCCAGCATCACCTGGGAACTTGCGAGAAATGCACATTCTGGGTCCCACTCCAGACTTACTGAATTAGAAACTCTGGGTATAAGGTAATCTGTGTTTTTAACAACTCCTCCAGGTGATAATGATGTCATTAAAGTTTAAGATCCACCGACTTAAACAGAAACCAATTCAACTTCATCATCCTTTAAGCTTCCTATATGACACATACTACTACTGATATTTGGCACACTACTGATACATGGCGGTATTTATCATCAAGAGGGTGGCAAAAAAGAAAAGTTTTTCTATTCATCAGCTCTTCTAGAAAAGGTTATGTGATTAGGTTAGATCTTTCACTCAGAAGTAGTCCTTGTATAAATTTTGCTTTTCTGGTAACATTTAAACTTAGCTAAATTTTAACTGCCACCCATCCAAGCTGCCTTACCTCTTCAGCCACAAGAGGGCTTCGGTGGCTGAGTTCCTAACCTGGGCCACATCAGCCTCCACTTCATGCAGCACTATCTTCTGTAGGGTGGTGAACTCTTCCTTATTGGTTATATACTTCTGATTTACCTTCTATAGGAAAAGCAGAGAAATAATCTAAATTTAAAGTATTAAGGCTATCAAGCAACTCATTATAATACTGAAATTTGTAAGTGTCAATAGACCTCTAAGAAATTAAAATGAATTGCATTTCTATTATATTTTCCTATATTTTTAAGGTATTGTGATTTTTTTGCTTGAGAATTCTATGATGCTTAAACTAAAATTAAACAGCTGCCTTGGGGTTTTAAAACATTTTTCCCTACCTCAGAAGCTAGCTGTTACTTTTTATTCTGAGTATAAAACTCAAAATCATCTGTATCTGAATGAGATTTCATGCAACCATTTCCTCCAAATACAGTCACCATAGAGACAAGCCAGTGTATTCACCTTAATATTTCCAACAAGATCCATTTTAACAGGAGCAAACACTGTAGGGCCAAGTTTGTCTAGAAGAAAAGATTGAAAATGTCTTTGAAGAAACAATTTATTCAAGTGGAAAATATTTTTATAATAATAAATTAAGCAGATCTTCCCCCAAACTTTATGTTTTGTTTTTAAATATAAGTTTTACCTATTTATATTATACTGCACATAGTTGAATAGATATAAAAAGGTCCTAAGTGACAGATTAGATGAGGACAATCTTTCAAGTTTAAAATGCATATTGTAGGGCCTCCCCGGTGGCGCAGCGGTTGAGCGCTGGGTTGCGAAGCTGCCCGTGGCCTCTGCGGCGCCAGTTCCATCCCCGGCTGCTCCCTGGCCACCAGAGGAGGGTCCCACATGGCACGCAGACCTCTCCTGCCGCCCGCTGCTCCCCTCAGCAGTGTACTTCGGTCCTTCTGCCTGCTCTGCTCCCTGCTCTGGCTCTGGTGAATTCTCTAACCCTCCCGCGCTTCTGACTGTACCCAGTGCATGTATAAACAAACAAGCAAACAAACAAACAAATAAATAAATAAAACATGCCTCTATTAAAAAAAAAATCTTTAAAAAAAAATAAAATGCATATTGTAATCTTTAGGGGTGCATTGTCCAACATGGTAGCTATTAAGTATGTGGCTATTTAGCAATTGCAATGACACAATGATAAAAGACTCTTTTTCTGTCCCACCGGATAAGCATTCCTGTCACCTTTATTTATCTGGTTTCTTTTTTACATTCCCGGGGAAAAGAGCATCATTAGGAAGATAACATTCTCAATTGCTGAACACCAGGTGATGATGAAAAGCTAGCATCACCTGGTAGCAAGGATAAACATGATAGCCCTTGCCTGTTCCCCCTTCTACTCCCCTGTAACTAGGTAAATACCCCTGCCCTCTACCAAAGAGCAGGACAGTGGTCTTTCAGACAGGATTCTGCTGCCCTCCTCAGTTTGTCGACGAATTAAACTACTTTCCTTCTCAAACTGTTTCCTTTTATTGGCTGAGGGAAAGTGAGTGGTGATTGGTAACAGCAATATAGCTATTCCAAACTCAAATATGCTATTAAAGTGTAAAATAGAGTACCAGAAACAGTATGCAAAATATCTCATCAGTGATTCTTTTATATTGATTACATGTTAAAATGATATTTTGGATATATTGGTTAAATAAAGTCCATTGTTAAAATTAGTGTTTGTTTTGTCTTAATATTTTAATATGCTATTAGAAAATCTGAAAGTACGCAGTGGTTTAAATATTTGTTGGACAAGAGCATGACTAAAAAAATTAAGCAAGGAATACTGCTAAACAGTCAAAAGAGAAAATATGTTTGTATACTAAAAAATACTTGATTGATCCAAAAGAAAAGCAGGAATAAAGATAGCTAGAAAGCCAAAAGAAGAGGGCCTCACTGGTGGCACAAGGGGTTAAGAAAACAACCTATGAAGCTGTCTGCAGCCACTGTAGCACGAGTTTGTTCCCAAGCCAGGGAGCTACCCTTGTGGCGCCGCAGACCTATACTGACTTGCCCGCTGCTCCCCTCACCAGTGTATTTCAGTCAATCCTCCTATTCTGTTCCCCACTCTGTCTCTGGTGAATCCTCTCACCTCCCACACCTCTGGCCTGTACCCCAGTTCTTGTATGCATAAATAAATAAATATTTTTAAAAAAGCCAAAAGAAAAAATAAAACAGAATACTAAAAAAAATCAATTAATTGGCTAGAAGTCATGAATAGAGTAAAAAAGGAACAAAGAATAAGTAGGCTAAATTGAAAATAGCAAGACGGTAGATACAAATAGCAACAGATATGTTCACCCAAATATATTCACGACATAACAAAGTACAGGAAAAAGCCAATTTCAATAAACATAGAAGATGTACTTTATGAAATTAGTTCATTTATGAATATTAATAAAACCGACTCAACATACAAAAGTGAATTGTATCTATATGATGTCCATGAATAATCAGAAAATGAAATATTTCAAATAATTCTAAAATTTATTCCTGACAAATGATGTGTAAGACCACCACACTAAAAACTATATAAAGCACTTTTGAGAAAATATTTACTTGAGTAAATGGACAAAAATAGGCTCACCAATTAGGAGACTCAATATTATTTAAGAAGTTAATTTCCTACTAAATTGGTTTACAAATTCAACGTAATCTTAATCAAAGCCCCAACAGACTTTTTAATAGAAATTTAAAAGCTAAAATTTAAACATGCAAAGGACCTATAATTGCCAAAATCATCTTGGAAAAAAAAAAATGGAAGACTTATATTGTCTGAGTTCAAGTCTTAATATAAAAATACATTAACTGGGCCCTCCCTGGCAGCACAAGGGGTTAAGTCTCAGCACTATGAAGCTATCAGCAGCCACTGCTGCAAGAGTTGGCATAAGTTTGATCTTCCAACCAGGGAATTAACCCACATGGTGCAGCAGACCTCTCCTGTCTCACCTGCTGCTCCCCTCAGCAATATATTTCAGTAGATCTACCTGTTCTGATCCCCATTCTGTCTCTGGTGAATCTCTTAAACCCCAGCACCTCTGGCCTACACCCCACACCACACCCTTACCTCACATCACATATAAAAACTAATTCCAAAATGTATTATAAATGGAAACATAAATCAAACTCAAGAATATAGAGGACAACACAGAAGATAATCTTCATGATGTTGGGGGTAGGCAAAGGGTGCTAAGGGCACAAAAAGCACTAAATATAAAAGAGAGAAGATAAATTGGACTTCATGAAAATAAAAAACTTCTGATCTTCATAAAACATCATTAAGGAAAGAAATGGGCAAGCCGTAGCCTGAAGGAAAATATTCACAATGCATATGTTTACAATGAAATGTTATTCCAAATATATAGGGAATACTTAAGTCAATAATTAAAAAGGAAATTAACAAATTAAAAAAAAGGATTTAGGGCCTCCCTGGTGGCTCAAGGGGTTAAGACGCAATCTATGGATTTGTCTGCAGCCACTGCAGCACGAGTTTGATCCCCAGGCAGGGAGGTAACCCACATGATGCAGCAGACTTCTCCTGTCTTGCCCGCTGCTCCCCTCAACAGTGTTTTTCACTTAGTCTGCCTGTTCTGTTCTCCGCTCTGTCTCTTTTGAATCCTCTCATCCCCCATACCTCTGGCCTGTACCCCAGTTCTTTTATGAATAAATAAATCTTTAAAAAATGGATTTAATATTTGAACAGATTTCATAACTGAAGAGGTAGCAATGGTCAGTAACTATAGGAGAAAGTGTACATCATCACTAGAAATAAGGAAAATACAAAATAAAGCCACAATGAGATATGTCTAAACACTCATAAGAGTCTCTCACTGTGGCTTTATTTTTGTCACAACCAAAAGTACTGACACAGTGCTAGTAAAGAATGTGAAACAAACAGAATACTCAATCACTACTGCTGGAAGTGTAATCATTCTTTATAAAGTTAAACATATGAACCCTATGAATCAACAATTCCACTCCCAGGTATTTACACAAAAGAAATAAAAACATCTCGAGACAGGGAGGGTCCCATCCTGACCTCACCAAAACTGTGTAGAACTGAGAAAGGGCTGTCTACACAGCTAGAGGTGAGCTGAAACCCTGCAAGGAGCCTAGAGAGGGATCCAGCCACCGCCGGAGCAGACAGCACGCGCAGGGGAGCATCCCCCAGACGTGCCATCTTTAAGACAATACTAATGATAAAGGACTGATCACAAAAATTTACAAAGAGCTGACGAGACTCAACAAAAACAAAGTAAACAACCCAGTCAAAAAATGGGCAGAAGAGCTAAAAAGAAACATCTCCAAAGAGGAAATGCAAATAGCCAATAGGCATATGAAAAAATGTTCAACATCACTTGTAATCATGGAAATGCAAATCAAAACTACAAGACCATCTTATACCAGTGAGAATGGCACATATTAAAAAAACTAGCAATAACAAATGATGGCGAGGATATGGAGAAAAAGGAACTCTCCTTCATTGCTGGTGGGAGTGCAAACTGGTCCAACCACTATGGAGAGCTGTAAGGAGATTCCTCAATCTGCTAAAGATGGAGCTTCCATATGATCCAGCAATTCCACTCCGTTATTTACCCAAAGGACACAGAAACATTAATTCAAAAGGGCACCTGCACCCCTATGTTTATAGCAGCACTATTTACAATAGCTAAGCTATGGAAACAAACCAATTGCCCTCAATTAGATGACTGGATCGAGAAGATGTGGTACATATACACAAAGGAATATTACTCAGCTATCAAAAAAGATAAACTCATGCAATTTGCGGCAACATGGATGGAGTTGGAAGGGATCAAGCTCAACGAAGTAAGCCAGAAAGATAAAGAAAAATACCAGATGGTCTCACTCATAGCAGGAATTTAGAAAACCTAAATAAGGAATCAGAAAAAATACTGATTATAATAAAGTAAAAATCAAAATCAACAAGCAACTATAAACCAGAGACACACTACAGGGTGGGGAGAAGGGAGTAGGATCAAAACAAGGGGGATGGGAATTGTATGGGGACTATAACCAAGATGAAAATGCAGACATTGTGCAAAAATGAAAAATGATATAAAAAATATATAAAATTAAATTTAAAAAAGGAAATAAAAACATATGCGCTTAGATACAAAAGTGTTCAGAGCAATTTCATTTATTACAGCCCAAATCAGAAATGACCCAAATGACCATCAATGGGAGAACGAATAAAAAATTGTGATAAGGCCTCCCTGGTGGTGCAGGGGTTAAAGTCTTAGCGCTATCAAGCTATAGCCAGCCACTGGGGCATAAGATGGATCCCCAGCCAGGGAGCTAACCCACGTGGTGCAGCAGACCTCTCCTATCTCGCCCTCTCCTCCCCTCAGCAGTGTATCTCAGTAGATTTTCCTGTTCTGCTCCCCACTCTGACTCTGGTGAATCCTCTTACCCCCTTACCACCCATACACTCCTCTGGCCTACACCCCAGCTCTTGTATGCATAAATAAAATAAATCTTTAAAAAAAGATTCACACAATGGAACACTAAGCAGCAATTAAAAGGTATGAACTACTGATTCATGTTATAAGGATGAAAACATCCTACCAAGAGAAAAATTCAGATGCAAAAGAATACATAACTCACTGAATCAAGACACGGTTATAAAGCAAATTTTAACAAATTAGCAATCTCAGGTACCACTGAGTCTGAAAAGTAATTGTAATTGACACTGAAATAAATTTCTACACATAATCTTTGAAAAAAGTTTTAGCTGGTACAATTTATTTTTCATAGTACCAAATGATTTGAAAGTCTATTTCCCAGCTACTTTATCACTTTTGCTTTACATGTATGATTTTTAAAAAGCAGAAATCCCTTTTTCATTATACTATCCCGAGGTCAATATTTTATTAAATGGAAATATGCATTAATGCTGAAGATCGTACAGATTTAGCTGTGTCTGCTGATACGAAGTAGATAAGAAGGGTTATCACATACTCACAATTGAGGATATTTCTCTTGCAAAATAACTAGAGACAGATTCTAGAGATTAATGAATTTAGGGGAATTAGCAATCTTACCTAATACTGGAACTACAGCATAACATGATGCCAAGAATGCTTCTGTGGGTATGCCACTGTCTTCCAGAAGCTCAATGTCACTAAAGCTTATATTTAGTGATTAAAAGGAGGAAAGATTGAAAATACAACATTAACACTCTTTGCAGTTTCGAGGTAGTCACGAAAATACCTGCCTCTCTATAGGGCAATTCATTTGGTGTGATTTCACAGATATGCCCCAGTGATTATATTTCTATTATAATATGGTTCAATAAAATCATTTTCCAAAGATAATCCACCAAAACAAGGTAAATTTGTTCACAGAATATACACTCACAATCCAATTCCTTCTCATTCATTAATTCAGACAAGTAAAGAGTAAGCAGATAATTGGTGTAACATATCCTCTATTCTATTAGAATAAGCCATCACCTGAAAGAAACATCAGGATTGAGTTTCCAGAAGGGAAGCTGATATACAATTGTCAGTGCTATTATAGAGTATAGGTTACCTGGTATTCATGGTGCTAAAGAAAGTTGGGATAGCTTCTTGGCCTTCTTCCCAGTGAGATTCTGGAGAACAACTTGAGGAGTCTGATCCAGGCTGTGCCAATTTGTTGTCATGATTTCCCAGGTTTTCCTTTCCATCATCCTTTATTATTTTACCTTGGGCTATAAAGTATAAGATGCTTATTACTAATCTTACCTTTTATTATAAAATTATTATATATTCATTGTTGAACATTTTTAAAACACAGAAAAGTATACAGAATAAAATAAGTAAAATACTATGCAATCACAATATATATCACACACAAAATTGGCTTTAGATGTAAATTGATTTGTAGCCCACTTGTTTTCAGTGTATCATGAATATTGTCATTAGCATTTAATATTCTTCAACATGTAATTTTAATAACTGTAATAATCTATCACGCTAATGTGGAAGGTATTTAGAAGGTTTCTAAAATGTTAGTATTATAAATACAGTTGATTCTCTTAACTGTATTCCGTATTTGTGAATTTGCCTACTTGCTAACATTTACTTATTTTAAAAATCAATGCTTATGAAGTCTTTAGTCATCTGTGGATACATACAGAGTGGTGAAAATCTGAGTAGCCGGACATACTCTATACTCTTAGCTGAGATTGCACAGGTGACACTGCCTTCTGGATTCAGCTCTCATACCATAGACAAGTATCTTTATTTAGTCCCACATTTTGGGCACTTTTGTTGTTGATTTTGCTGTTTAAAAGGGTGCCACAAATATAGTACTATCCAGTATTCCTATGTGCAAGAAGGCTGTGATGTGTCTTACAGAGAGAGTACTTATGTAGATGAGCTGTATTCAGGCATGAGGTATGGTGATACTAGTTGTGAATTCAATGTCAATGAATCAACAAGAGATATTAAAGGTTTCCTTAAGTAGAAACACATAAAGCAAGGCAATGTACTTACCAATTGACAAAAATGTCATGACCAGAGGCTTATAGGTACCTATCCCTACATTTCCCATAAGAGCAGTGATCATATTTGCTAATTTAGCAGTGACTTCAAAAGTACACTTTATATATAGGTAGAACACAACTAACATGAAAAAATGAGAATTGACTATAATATCACAAAGAATATCCCCATTCATAGATATTTGTCCTTAAACATGACTATTCCCTGAGAACAAATTCTAAAAGTGAAATTATGGGGTTAAATTAATTACTGTTTCAATAGCATTTCTCTTGTTTTTACTATTTGCTCAAGAGATAAGACTTCAGTCATGAGTGAAATGCTCGCCTAAGATTAACAGCTAAGAAAATGTATCTTCTTTTCTCCCAACTCATGTGGAAAAACAAGGTCTCTTATTTCAGGGGAGATGAGAATTTTTTAAAATTTTATTTTCAAAACAATTTTATTATGTACTTCAAACAATTTAAAAGCTCTAATATGGTTATTGTGGGCTTGTCTGAAAAGGGTTTTAGAGGTTAGCACTGAATGAATTAGCAAATTCAAAGGGCAGCCTCTTCCAGTACAGGCTATTAAATGAAGTGTGGGACTTGAGCGTGCTGAACACAGAGGATGCAGGTGAAACCCTGGAGGTGACTGCTGAGTTCTGACATCCTGATCTCATCAGCAAGCAGGAAGATGAAAAACTGAACGGCCGTAACTTTATGTCCTCTTAAGTCTGACATCACAGTCTAAGTTCAAAGGACTTTGGGACACAGAGTGGAAGACCAGTGCAATACTCTAAAAAGTCATCACAGACAGCGACTGCTCTTTGTAGTCCATGAACATCACAGCACAGGGAACAGCAACGTCTTCTGCCTTTTCGACACTGGATTAGAATGCAGTGGGGAGAAATATCGGGGTGAAGAAGGAATGACAATGTGTTACGGGGCCAACATCTCCTCATGAGATACTTGGCCGATGGTCTAGAAGTCCAACCCTATCAAGAAAATGATCAGATAATGAATCAAACTCCCAAGATTCTATATAGTTTACCAGTTTGCTTCAGACTTTACTTTTGTTTCTACCTGGTACATTATCATCTGCATTTTCTTCACTTGATATGCTGCAATCTGTCTCTGGAGGTTTCAAATACAAGGAGTTCTTGTTTTTCATCAGGATTTCTTCATCATCAGTTATTTCCATATTTAAAGATCCATTTTCACAATTGTTTAATTCCATTTGCCTGAAACATTTTTCAAAAGAAAACAGTAAAAAACTCCAATTATTTGGTCAGGTAAGATCTTATTCTGAGGGGTAGGGAAAGAGTTCACAAGCACTAACTCCTTTTAAATCACTTAAAAAATAGAATTGTTAAATCAAGCCAGATCCCTCATCCTCTTGCCTCCAAGGCAGATAGCTGCCTGTAACAGCAGTAGATTAATATCTGGCAGAAGTTCAGATGTTAAAGAGGCATTCATTGCCCTTCATGTAACCTTAGCTGACTCAGTCTTCCAGTTCCCTGCCAGTAACAGGAAATAGTCATTGACAACAATTTGGTTTTCAATCAGTTTTTTACCGGCACATTTAACACTTTTCTCACTTTCTCTAGCTTCTCCATAGGAGACACTTTCTCCTTAGCTACACATGCCAAGGTGACATGTATTGGAAAAGCTTTTCTGAACATTTTTGGAGAGACCTATTTTTCTTTCTTTCCTTTTTTTTTTTTTTTTAAAAAGATTAATTATTTATTTATACAAGCACTGGGTATAGTCAGAAGTGTGGGAGGGTGAGAGAATTCACGAGAGCCAGAGCGGGGAACAGAACAGGCAGACTGACAAAATACACTGCTGAGGGGAGTAGTGGGCGGCAGGAGAGGTCTATGCGCCATGTGGGACCCTTACCCGGTGGCCAGGGATCGAACTGGTGCTGCAGAAGCTGTGGGCAGCTTCGCAATCCAGCACTCAACTGCTGTGCCACTGGGGAGGCCCGAGACCTATTTTTCAACTTTATCCCTCAACTTTATCCCTTTTCAAAATCACTAGCTACTTCAATATATTTGTGTGGTAGTTCACTTGTCAAGAAACCTCATGCTGTGGTCAGGGGAAAATATTCCCTTCAAAGTATGTCTGACAGTAAAAATTTGGAAGGACTAGATATATCCTGAGTACCTGTTGCTCTTTAGGGTAACAGAAAAGGCTAATATGAAAGAGGGACAGTTGATTCAGTCAAAGGTAAAATTTATAACATCTTATTATAAGTGACTATACCCAGCCCAATGAGAAAAAATACATAAATGAATATAAATAAAAGGAAAAAGTCTAGAAAAACATGCTGATTCTGAGAAAAGCACTTACTTTCTATAGAACTACCATACATATTTCAACATATCAAGTTTAACACAGAGTATACTGAGAAAACACCTTCATAAAACCTACAAAGATGTTCCAAGTAAAAATGCTTAGAACAATGTGTGAAGATATATATCATAACCACAAAGGAGAAGGATAAAGATATAAAAGTGGGTAACCAGTCTTTGAAGCGCCCCAGCACATTCTTTAGAAATACAGTAGTGATTAAACCCCAGCATTTGCCTTCCTCTGTGTACCAGTTGCACCTATCCTTAGGTCAAGATAATAAGAATGCATTGTTTTGATGTCAATGAGTTTAGTATATAAATTTGTGATTGCTGGAACAGTTCCCATATAGTAAAATCTATTAGACTGTTTTTTGAGTTTGAATCCTCACTTTGATTATCTAATAAACTTTCTTGATTATTGAGACTTTTATTCCAATCAACAGGAAAAAATTGTTATTAACTGTTAAAAGAAACAGGCCCCAAATGGAGTCATTTGTGCTGAGCCCATGTTACCAAACTGACACTCAATACTAAACCTAATTGCTGTTTCAGTTTCTCCCAGAAATGTAATCTTAACTAGTTGGTCTGAAATTTTTCAGTCAAGTAAACTGCCTGATAGACCCTATGGGGGCACAAGGGGAAATCGTCCCTCTTCTTTTCTCAGAGCAAACTAATTAACATCAGACAGAGAAGAAGGAGAAAAGACCAAATTTAATTATAAACATAGAAAAGTTACACAGCTATAAGTTCTAGAGTAAATGACACAGACAGAGGATAAATATTTTGAGATAAAGAATAGGATAAGGACCTAGGGAATCAAGCAGATGGGAAGGGGTCTCACTTGACAAGGAGAGAATGACTTCACATAACAAAACTAGATGCTCCAGAGATTTGTCCTGCCTCAAAATAGGTCTTTGCAATAAAAAGGTTATTTTTGGAGGTGACTAACTCTGGGTAATCTTCATTCTTTAAGATAATGGCAACAACTTCCCTAGAGACCTGCAGGGTCTTGACTGACCTTAGCTACACATGCCAAGGTGACATATATTGGAAAAGCTTATCTGAACATTTTTGGAGAGACCTATTTTTCTTCAACTTTATCCCTCAAAGGAAGGTGACCTTGCCTGCAACTACACTCTCTTTGCTAACAATTTCCCTTTTCTGCCTATAAAAACAATTCATTCAGCATAGCTCTTCAGAACTCCTTTTTATCAGCTAGATATGATGCTACCTGAGTCATGATTCCTTGAATAAAGCCAGTAATATCTTTAAAATTTAGTCTATTGAATTTTGTTTTCTTAACAAAAGCTAATTGGGAATAATACTTTTTCTAAAGATGCAAATAGTAGTATATAAAGAGCTGAAATATTAGATAGTAACTTGAAAAGACAACTACATGAACATGTCAAAATATGGAATGCTTATATGAAATTAAAAAATGGAATAAAGACTCTAAATATTTGGAAAAACAATTATGAATGAACACTTTTTTATTAAATCAAAGGAGTATTTAGAGGAAAAGATAGTTTATACTTTGATGCTAAATTCTTTTTTCAACCTGTAAAACTACATAATATTTTTATTTTTTAACCAAAAAAATAGCACTGTCTTTTCTTGACAAAAACACACTTAAATCATTGCTTAGTTTCTCCAAAAGAGCAAGGTTCCAATACTCAAGAAACTAGAGACATTAAAAGTTATTAGACGTGATGGATGAGGTCCAGATTCTAAGGAAAAATGAAACCAGCTTCTGTAGTACTTGATGCTAAATGAAAGGTATATATTGTTTCAGTATTACCCCAAATAGGAAAGCCATATCGTTTCCTTCTGATTATTACTCAAATCATGAAGGAAGTCACCATACAATCAAAACATTCTTATTTTTTTTAAACAAGGAAAAACAATATCCTTATTTTTTTTATTTAGAAAGATAAAAAGTTACTGTACCTTTCCAGTGAATTATGAATCGGTACAATAGGATGTTTCATCTTTAAAAGAAGCAAAGAAATAAAAATTTACATGTTAAACTTCCAACAGAGCATAATCAGAATTTTATTACACATGAAAATGGTAAACATGACCAAAACATACTCTGTCCCACTCGATTGAAACAATGTGAGATCCTTCCAAAAGCAGGGAGTCATTGATTCCAACTTTCTTATTTATTCAAATAAAGATAGACAAATTTCTAAGGCAAAGGAAGACAGTCTCTTGAATGACATAATTATCATAGCCAAACCCTTGGTAGTTAGCCTTTTCTTATAATTTTAGCTATACTGGTAAAATAGTAGTAAGTACCAAACTATGACAAAGCATGATATTGAACACTGGAAGAACAGAATGGTGTTCATGACCTTGAAGTAAATTGAATTTTAGGGTAATGTTAAAGTATGCATGAGGGTATACTTTGCCCAGCCTAGGAAGTCAGGGTAGAGGAGATTAAATCTTTAGGTTGAATGACAGCTAACAGGGAAAGATGGTTGAGAAGGCATTCTTGGCACTGGGAAACAGCACAAAGATGTAGGGAGAGCTCTAAGCAGTTAATACATCAAGCCAGGTAATGACAGAGAAAGAGGCTGGGGATCTGAGATGGGGTTAAGACATTTTGACTTTAACCTATAGGCAAAGAGGGAACTGGAAGGTTTAGGAAAAGCAATCCAATTTGTACTGTGTGAATAGAAATACCGTTAGCTGCCTGAAGGGTTAGGTTGAAGGCTACTAGCTAGAAGGCTACCTCAAAACTCAGGAAGACTCTCTGGTCATGGAGGCTAGAGGGGAGGTTAGCCACATTAGAGACATGTTTAGGTGGTAAAATTGCCAAAAATAACTAACTTGATATTCGGACTGAGGGCAGATACAAAGGTGAACATAAAGGAAAATCGACTAAAAAATGTCTTTCTCAGTCGCCAAAGGGTGATGGAAAACATAACTCAGTATCACCTTCTTTACTTTCAACTTTTCTGTATGCTTTGCTACAGCCAAGCTGAGCTGGGCTGTTACCTTATTGGACTTGAGCATGGCCAGCTGAGGCGATCCTGGGGGAGTTCGATAGAGTAACTCGGAGGTGAAAGCTGCATTTGCAATCTGCATGCATTCTTCCAAAGTCTTCAGAAAAGTATTGCAGGTTGATTTTAGCAAAGTTCCCACATCAATTCCCTCCTACAAAAACAACCAGAGTGGAAGACTCGTTTACCTTGCCAAAAAAAGATAAAGTCCAAGTATAGAATGTTCTTATCCTCAATATAATAATGTATTTGTCAGACAAATATGTATTTGCCAGACAAATATGTACTCAGAAAAAGACTAAGTTCTTGAAGCATACATAAGCTTTACCCTCAATCTGACTGTTCACACTGACCCACTCACCCACTGAGCTGAAGCAACAAGTTTGTTCAACTAGATATTGTGCCGGGGCTGGGCACAGTGCCCTCGTGAGGTTTCCAGTCTATAAGGGGTGACAGACCTGAAACAAGAAGTCATACAGATTGAAGACTGGAATCAATAAAAAAATGATTCCCACTACTGAGTGAAAATGAGGTTCTAGAACAGAAGCACTGGAAATTACAAGTCACACATTTTCTGCTTGAATGGATTTTTTTTGGTTTTCAGTATAGATGAGTCTAAGAGGTTTTAGCAACTGGAATTCTTTTAAATATCCAACAATTCCTTCCTCCCCTAAGTTATTTTACTTGCTCAAAGTGTTTTCCTTCTGGATATTAATATTAATAAGCTATTTAGGAAACTGACACTACACCCTGACTAGAAAGTGTGGCAACCACAATTTAGTGGTATCAAGGAACTAGATTGGGCCCATGATGGAGGTGCTCATGCTAAGTCTTATGTCAGCAAACCAAACACTAAGTTTCTGTGCTCAGATCTCTCAGAGCAGGATTGCCTCTTCAGCACAAGTTACCAGACCTTTGTTATATGTAAGGAAAATAACATTGCTTGAGCCAATCAGCAAATGCTCAGTATAATTCCCTTGTTCCTGGTCGCTTTGGTCTATAAAAATCACTACTTTTGTACAGTTCTCCAGAGCTCCATTCTATCTGCTAGACTGGAAGCTGCCCAGTTCATGAATTACCGAATAAAGCCAGTAAGACCTTAGAAATTTATTTGAATTTCGTTCTTAATAGCGATCTCAAATTGCCTCAATTTTGTAATTCTAGCAAGCTAGAGGATAATTTTACTGGCTGTGGACCACTATGATTCTGACACCAAATGTTTTCCTACACCACCACTGTCCAATACTATCTGGGTCATACAATTCCACTAAATTCAAACACCAGCTATCTAGTGATAGTATTAGATTCCACAGGTCAAAAGCTCAGTCCCACAAGACTGTCCCACCCCAAAGGCAAATCCAGGTTGTCACCTGAGTGGCTGATTGGAGATTTCAATGGAGAGGTCAAATTAATTAGGTCTAATTTTGAGAGAGCAGGTCACAGAAATCAAAGAAACATCTTTTCTAGAGTACCAGATAATTATAAAACTTGATATAACTCAAGGTCAGATGGATGAGATGCATAGGGCAAAGCAAACAGAAGGGGTGCAGAGAGCCATGCTCTCTGAGTATGTTATATTCCCTAATCGCCTCAAGTTCACCAACTTAGGGCCTCTTTGAACTCAATTTTAAGAAAGCTTCATTAATAGGAACAATTGATTAACTCAATGATCTGGTGATTGAATTCATGCTCCACACCTCCTCTTCATTCCCAGGATATAGGGACTGAGGGGTGTGACTAAAAGGGTCAATGCTATAATCACTTGGTGGGCTCCACAATCTATCAGCCACAGTACCCTTTTCTTAGGCTCTTTCCAAAAGCTGCCTCCCACTCTGTGACAGAAGTTGGACAAAGCCCAAATGCTTCTTTCTTTTTTTATTGAAGGACCATTGTTTTACATCCCTGTTAGTGTTTTGGCAGTTTAGGATTCCCCCCTCAGGTATGGTCACTGTAGCATTCCCACCACCAAAGCACCATAGTCCTCCACTGCAGTCCTTTGTGTACTCCCTCATCCCCTTGTTTCACCCCACTTTCTCTCCCTCCCCATCTCAATATCTCAGATCTATAGTGAGCTTTCAAGGGTTGGTTTTAATGTTTGTCTTTTTCAGACCCTTTGTTTGGTTTCTCTATTATTGCACATATTAAGTGACACCCTCTGGAATTTATCTTTCTCCTTCTGGTTTATTTCTCTTAGCATAATTCCTTCCAGTTCCACCTATGTTGCTGCAAATGACATGAGTTTATCTTTTTTGATTCTGAGCACTATGCCACTGTGTATACATAACATACCTTCCTGATACGCTCACCTGATTTTGGGCACTTATATTGTTTCCATATCTTGGCTATTTTAAATAGTGCTGCAATAAATGTAGGAGTGTAGGTTCACTTTGGAATTAGTGTTTTTGTATTCTTTGGGTAGATACTTAGGAGTGGAATGATATGGCAGATTCATTTTCAGTCTTTTGAAAATCTCCACAGTTTTCTACAGAGGCTGGGCCAGTTTACATTCCCACATCCTTGCCAGCACTTGTTTCCAGCCTTTTAGATATGGGCTAGTCTCACTAAGGTGGTATCTCACTGTGGTTTTGATTTTCATTTCCCTGGTGATAAATGAGGATGACCATTTTTTCATGTGCCTTTGGCGATTTGTATGTCTTCTTTGTAGAAGTGTGTGTTTAAGTCTTCTGCCCATTTTTTAATAAGATTTATTTATTTATGCATGCAAGAACTGGGGTGCAGGCCAAAGGTGTGGAGAGTAAGAGGATTCACCAGAGACAGAGTGGGGAACGGAACAGCCAGACTGACTGAAATACACTGCTGAGGGGAGCAGCCGGCGAGTCAGAAGAGGTCTGCTGCACCATGTGTGTAGCTCCCTGGCCAAAGATGGAACTCTTACTGCAGTGGCTGCAGATAGCTTCTAGGTTGTGTCTTAACTAACCCCTTGCACCACCAGGAAGGCCCTCTTCTGCCCATTTTTAGCCCCCTTACTTAGGCTCTTTCCAAAAGCCAAATTTGTGTTACCAAACACTTATTTCTACAATATCACAACCACAGTTTCATCACCAAGTCCCCATGGCACTTCTTTAAATTAAAATTCATGTTCACATTTCCCCTTCCCTCTAGACCAGTGCTTCAGCACCACAAACATTTGGGGCTGATTAATTTTTGGAGTGAGGAAAATAGAGGGAATGGCTCTTCTATTTATTGCAGTATTTTAAGCAGCATCACTGGCCTCTACTCACTAGATACCAAAAGCAGTCCCTTAGTGACCACAACCAAAAATGTCTCCAGACAATGTCAGATGTTTTCTGGGGTACAAAACTGCTCTAGATTGAGAATCACTCTCTGTTTTAGACTATAAACATCCCAACAGCAGGACTGAATTCTTTTTTATATACTCTTTCCCTACCCAGCACAATGTCTTCTACATAATAGACAGTTGCTGAATGAATGAGACAACCCAAAAGGAAATGAAAGTGAATTAAATCACCTGTGTTAGAAAAACCCAACGCACATATGCTACTAGGAACACAGTATTCTTTTCCTTTCTAAGAAAAGTAATTTAAAACAATTATGTCGGGGCCTCCCTGGTGGCGCAGCGGTTGAGCGCTGGGTTGCGGAGCTGCCCGCAGCCTCTGCAGTGCTGGTTCGATCCCTGGCTGCTCCCCGGCCACTGGAGGAGGGTCCCCTATGGCGCACAGACCTCTCTTGCCGCCTGCTGCTCCCCTCAGCAGTGTACTTCGGTCCTTCTGCCTGCTCTGCTCCCTGCTCTGGCTCTGGTGAATTCTCCCACCCTCCCGCGCTTCTGACTGTACCCAGTGCTTGTATAAATAAATAAATAAATAAATAAATAAATAAACAAATCTTTAAAAAAATAAAAATTAAAAAATTAAAAAATTACGTCTGCAGATTCCTCATTTTATAGGCATTGTTTTTCAGATTAAAATGTCTTTGAGAGCACAGAAGAGAGATCTCCCTCGTTAATGTGAGCCACTGAATGAACAGTTTAACACTACATAGATCTTTTAAAAGATGCTAGTATGAGCGAATGACAACCTTATAAGTAATGCTAAAATTTGAATCCTTGTTGATGATGGAGAGAAAAAAGACTGTATCTCCATCTTAGGAGACACTAGTCTACACGAAAACATAACTACTGTGGTGAAATAAAATTCTGTTAGTCTTATCAAAGATGCGAGACACTATGTTGGCATTTTTTTTTTTAAAGATTTATTTATTTATTTATACAAGCACTGGGTACAGTCAGAAGCGCGGGAGGGTGAGAGAATTCACCAGGGCCAGATGGGAGAGTAGAACAGGCAGACTGACAAAGTACACTGCTGAGGGGAGCAGCGAGCGGCAGGAGAGGTCTGCGTGCCATGTGGGACCCTCGCCGGTGGCCGGTGATCGAACTGGTGCTGCAGAGGCTGCGGGCAGCCTTGCAGCCCAGAGCCCCAGCACTCAACTGCTGCACCACCAGGGACGCCCATATGTTGACATCTTAATAGAAATGGCTCTGTTACACAGGTAAGTTTGTATTAAAAAACTGTGAGAAACATACATTAGTACCATAGTTAAAGGTTCCATATGTTATTAATTAATAAAATCCTAAACTTGTTCCAGAAAGGGAAACCATAAGCTTCCATATGCTGAAATGCAAACATTTCTCTTTGTTGGATTTTATTACTTTTTCTGAGAGAAGTAGGAAATTTCAAGATAATCAGGGATTATGAGAAAATAAGTGTAACTGGTAAGCAACAGCTTATGCTACTTTTTGTGTGGTTAAAGACAACATTTTACCTCAGAATTGGACACACCAGTTGTAGTCACTTCTTTTGTTTTATCTACTTGCTGAACAAGGAGGTCACAGTAGAGTCTTAGTTCTGACATTTTGGTTTTCAAGTTCTCAGTATTTTCAGCAAACTCTAAATGACAAAATGATAACGCAATTATAAAAATGAATAATTGATTTACCGGTTAGCATATAATACAGAGAATATAATACAGAATATAATACAGAGAATATAATATAGAATATAATACAGAGAATAAATATACAACTTATGCCCCCAATAAGATGTTTACAGAATGGGTTACAGAATATGATTTAGATGAAGATATGGGAGCAAATCAATAGAAAAAAGGAGACTTCTAGTCTTTAGAAGTACACAGCATTATTTCTTGAGTCAACATATTGCATGATTACCAGTAAAGGTGTCTGAACTAGGAGCAAAGTCAAGGGCTCAGTTTGGCCTCAGTTCTGCCACACAGTCCTGCTAACATGGTGCTCAAATATAGGAAACAGTGTCCTATTACATGAAATTACCACTTAATAAGACTTGTTAATTCAGGACTTGTCCAGCATGCTATCTATCAAAGCTAATGGCATCCTTTACATATCTGCAGCTCTCTCATTAGCCAGACATTCCAGATACAATCATCGCTGCCTCCGGTTTTCTTCTCCATGAAAATGCTGTGCATTACTACCTGATCTGAGTTAAAGTTGACAGGATCTAGAATGTGCTCCTGATGTTGTTTTTAGCATTAAAAAACAACCCATGATGTGGTCATCTTACTGTGTCTACTTGAAAAGTTAAGCACATCTCCCATACATGTCATCAGAAAGGTCATGAAACACTTTTTCACAGAGGCCCCTCGCTCTCACTAATTTCCTCAGGTGTACCCATGAGCTAGGAGAGTTCAGGCAGTAAGATTTGACCAAATCTAAACAGAAGCTTGAGTCATGGTTCTCAGGAGACCTAATGGTGGCAAGTTAATGAGCACGAAGGGGCAGCAACCTAACATTTAAGTATCCATCCATCCCACCTCAAGGAAAGGGAGACGTGGGGTGTTACTGTAGAAGGCACCTTGATGCAAGGCCCCTCTGGCTCAGCAATTCTTCATCAAGGTCAACTCTGCACCAGACTGGGTACTAGACAGTTTCATATCACTAGGTTACTACCTCTTTTTAATATGAGGCAACTGAGAACTAGAACTGAAAGATTAAGTGACTCGTGCCAAGGTCACAAAATCAGTAACTTGCAAAGCCAAGATATGAAGCTAGTTGTATCTGGCTCAAAAGTCTTTACTTTTTCTACTATGATATCCTAATAAAGAAGAATTAGATACAAATCCTGGTTTAAATCCCACTGAGGTATATATTATTTCTATGATATACATACCAAGTTAGGTGGTTAGGGGCAAGGTAATAAAAAGGGAATCCAGAGATGTCAACTTGGGATGATTCCCAAGGTCCCTACACCAGACAACAATACTTGCCTTTCTCCTTTTGTGTCCTACTGTCTGTAAGGCAAGCCTTGGCTGATCCCAGGGCTACTAGCCACCGCTGTCTCTCAGCCACACTTCTGGCCTTCAGGTAGAAGTATTGTTCTCCAGGAATTATCAGGTCCATGCGTGTATTATCCACCGAATGAACTGGGAGCAAAGTAGAGGGAGATTAGAGACCTAGAAGAACCCTATCTGGGTAGCCTCCAACCCACTCAAATCCTTGTGCAAAATAGGAGCTGGTCACTGAAGGCTTCTCCCAAGAAAGGATGCCAGCTGTCACTCCCTCTTCTAGTTTATTTACCTCTTTCTAGATGCCTCTGGGGTTGAAGAGGGAAAAACTTGTCTCCAAGGTATGGCCGAGACTTTGGTCCAAAAAAGTATCCCCTACTGGAATTAGGATCTTTTATCAGACTAGAAAAGGACTCTTTTGGCTTGTGTATGTGTGAAGTATGATGTTTTAAGGCCAACAAGTAGGGATAAACTCTTTATCTCCTTGGCTTTATTGGAAAGCAATCAAGAGCACAATATTTTTTCTTTCCTACTTTCCTTGATAAGCCTAAGCAAAAGTTTGAGAATGCCCTCAGAGCCCTTCAGAAGAAACATGCAAACCATACTTTCCTTCACCCACCCTGCCATCACCTCCAAAATTCCCTTTTGATCTGTGTCTGAGGCACTTCTCAAGCATATATGAAGATTCCCCAAACCAAGAAATAAAGGCTAATTAAAGGTGCTAGTTGTTTTTACTATGTGGTGCAGCGAGAAGGTCTGTGTGTCCTGATTTAAACAGAAGTGTTTGATGTTGCAATAAAAATACTTAAATAAGCTTTACACTAGCCTCAGGTGGGCAGGTGACTAAGGAATGAGCAATAGATGTATGGTTAATACACTGCTCTCATTTATTTTGATTATCTCTTAATCAGCCTCCTTGTAAAAACTGGCTGCAGTTTTAGGTCTTATTAATAGGCTTTCTTTTGGGGCATAACACTATATATCTTTGTCTGTTCTATGAGAGCAACACAGAAAGGTACACAAAAGTTAGTATTTTTATATTTTGGGGGAAACAGAAAAATAAACTCTGCAAGTCTCTACATTTCTCACCTTGAATTTCACAGACTGCCATTTGGATGCTTCCTTTGCAACCTTTCCAGGCATCTTCAGGAGAATCATAATAGGATAATATCCCCCCACAGAGAAGGAACCATCGAGGCTGCCAACCTGAAAACAGACACAAAAGCATGGTCTCAATTACCACCTGCATGTGAAGTGCCTCCCAAGAAACAATAACAAGATGCTGGGTTCCAGCTCCAAGGGTACATTCCTGTATGTTTGATTTCATTTTTAGGGGCAAGATAAAATTAAAAACAATCTGCCAGAAACATTTATTTTTAGTCACGTAATGTACTGAAGTATAGAAGTAACAGCAACAACTACCTGTAGGTAATTGGATTACTGATGAGTTTTATCCCCTACTTACCCTAATACACAGTACTAGCTTCTAAATGATCATTGTGTCTTGAATGTTACTGCTATCACATATTTGCTTTCCTCCCCTCTGGTTAAGAATTATCCCAAACCTAGAAATGGGGCAAAAGATTATACTGCCCTACCAATATCACACATGGTGCTGTCTAGTAAGGCTGCCTAAGGTGACTTTGATTTACTATTTAGTACTGATCACTGAAATGAACTAAACTGAAACATTCAAGACCTCAACAACTTTTCAGAGAATTTTCAGGAACAAACTATAGAGTAGAAATACACATCTTATCTAGTCCTTTTATACAACCTATATATTTTAGTCAAACCAGATTTGTTATATTCCTGCTTTTGAACCAGCTGTATTTTCTTCCTAAAATGCCATTCCTCTCTGCATTATCCTTGTCAGTCTCCTCAGACATGCTTTGTTTTTCTTTTTGAAATGGAATACCCCTTTCCATTTCTCTCATGGGACTCTTCTGAAGTTGGGCCAGCCAGAAAAGGTTAGTGGGGGCTTTAGGCATAAGACATCATTTGAGATTAAAATAGTGTCACTATTAAATTATTATAGGAAATTAGTGTACTTCTGGAAACACCCTCAAGCTTAAGATCAGGGAGCAGGGAAATGACGTAGCACATCAGGAAGCTAAATGATTAACACCAAATCTAAACCTAAGTGCAGGGGTTTGGTGGCAGGAGAGATGGATGCTTCATTCATTTTTTACATTTGCAGGGCCCAAGGGTAAGAGCATTCATATTCACAAAGTAATATATCTATTATTTCCTTAAAAAAATAACAAAACTGGTTAAAGACTGATTCTCAACATCCACACTCTAATAATTCAGTACCTGAATTATTCTGAAATATCCTGCCACACAAGTCTTTCTGACCAAACATAAGCAATCTTTTCTAAAACTCTGGCTTACTTATATTCTTCTTGTTTCCTTTACTGGATGTCAGCAACCCCTACGTCCTTACCTTAACATCAACACAAGTTACTGGCTAGAAAAACTCCCCGGACTTGCAAATTTTTATTCCATAAAGTGAGGCTTCCTGATCTTGGCATCAAACTCCACAGAAATTCAAACTTGAAGGCCACTGTTCTTAGCAGAAACATTACAAACCAGGAAATCACACTGATCATCGGACTATGCCTTAAGCAAGGAAGAACTCCCAGAATTAGATATTATGGTGATATTTTAGCACTTTTACAAGAGTCTGTTTATTTATAACTGAGGCTATCTTCCCTCACTGAAGCAGAATCAATTTGTGAGAAATGAAAGAGATCTTTGGTATCACCTAGTGCAGCTAGCTTGTTTTATAGGTAAAGAAACCAATGCTGAGTGGCCTAAGTAAGGGTACATGGGAGTACTTAGCAGAACAGGAAAGAGAACCAGGTCTTTGTATACTGCTCCTTCTGGCATAAGAACCCCCAAGCCCTGGCCCTTCATTTCTAGAAAGCTATCCTGATACATCTTTTTCCTTAGCGCTTAACTCTGATGACTATGATGTGAACACTTCCCAAACCCACCATGACTTTTTGGCAGAAGAAATTCAGGATATCCTCAATTGCTGTATTTTGTCAAATTTAGGACCATACCTACAACAGACAGAATTCTCCAGAGAAACAAAACCAGCAGTATGTATGTGCATACATGTATAGTACAAGAATGTGTTATCTATTTATATACTATATATCTATATTTATTACAAGCAATTGACTTATAGAGAATGAGAAGTTTTAAGATCTGCATTGGGCGAGCTAGAGACCCAAGAGAACTGACATTTAGCCCCAGTCCCAGTCTCAAAGTCAGCAGACCACAAACCCAAGAAGAGCTGATATTTCAGTCTTAGTCCAAAAGCAGAAAAGGACCAATGTTTCATTCCTTCTATTCAGGTCTCTGGTTGGCTGAGACCCATTCACATACGAGAAAGCAATCTACTTTACTCAGTCTACCAAGTCAAATGTTATTTCATCCCCATACATTCTCACAGACACACCCATCATAATTTGGCAAAACATATGGTCCAGGCAAGTTGACACACAAAATTAACTATTACACACCATCAATTTCAAGACATATCATTATTTAACGTAATTAATATAAGAAAGAAAAAAATAGCCTGCCCATTAAACAATCACATGGCACTGATGGAAGCTTAGAGTAGAAAATTTGTGATAGAGGCATCATAAATCCAGACACTGAAAGTAAGGGTAAAAATGATTAACATAGTTGTTAAACCAGCTAGAGAAATTAACCCCTTAGGAGCTCTGTAGAAAGAATCTAGAGGAGCAGACCAGAGGTGGGGATAGAGAGGTTGAGGGCCCTAAGACAATCACCTGTCTTTACAAATTAACCTAATCACATCCTAAAAGTGATTAACAATAGGTAACAATTTCACAAAGGAATGAACCCCTCCCCAAAAGAAGAACACTCTGTCAGAACAATTTCTCGGTAAAAGGGAGCTCTCTTCCCAAGACTGCCCATCTGTGTGTAGATAAGTGTCTCTCTTTTTTCTTTCTCCATTTTCCAATAAACCTGTCCTTTTAAAATGCAAACTTCACCTGCCTGTGACTGTGCAAATGTCTTCATTTCCTGGGCAAACTCAGCATAAATTCCCCGTGTACTGCTGAAAAGAGAACTTGGCTGAAACTTTTCTCAGAGGACCCAAAGATGGTGCTCATTGAACCCTACACCTCATCAAAATGAGATCACTAGTTCTAAGATACTTCCCGATTTCAGTTATTGAAATGTGAAAAATGCCTGAAACTTCAAAAAAATGTGGTACTAAACTAGATTTATCTTACAGAACTCTGAAAAAGGTTAAACAGAACCCCTTTTCCTCCTAAAACACACACGTACACGAAACACAGCTGCAGTTCTTTTTGAAAGTAGCAGATGGACTAGAACAGTAACTGAAATAATACCTTTCCTGTAGCAGGTTGTTATTTATCTAGAAGTTATCATTATATAGGGGCAGTTCAATATATTGCTATTTTATTCTCTAACTACAAAAACTATGACCAAGAAAAACTTTTCTTTAAAGCATAAAGTTCCTGGAGTTTGAAGGCACATTAAGAGAATGCAGAAGTCTCATTCTATCACATGAGATTTAAAAGCAGAGCAAAGGGGCATCTAGAGCAGAATTGTGACACACTGCTCTTTCATCATGCCCTGTGCTGGAAGTTCAAACACAACTTAGGAATGATGAATATGAGAAAAGAAAAAAGGCTATTAAACTACTTCCTATTTTAATTAATCTGCAATTACCTAGAGCTACTGTGAAGGTTAATTTTATTTTTCATCTTGACTGGACTAAGGGATATCCAAATACCTAGTAAAGATTATTGCTGGGTGTTTCTATGAGGGTGTCACCAACAAGAATAGCACTTTAATTAGTAGACAGAATAAAGAGTGTCCTCACCAGAGCAGGTTAGCATCATCCCATCTGTTGAAGACCTAAATAGAAAAGGCTGAGGAAGGTGAGAATTTGCACTTTCTGCAGTGGCTGAGACCTTTATTTTCTCCTGTCCTGGGACAATGGCACCCCTGGTTCTCAGACTCTTGGACTCAGTCCAGGATTTACCCCACCAGCATCCCAATACTCAGGGCTCTGAACTCGGCCTACATTACATAAGCAGTATTCCTGATTCACCAGCTTATAGACAGCAGATCATGGGAATTCTCAGCCTTCAGAAACAGAGGAACCACTTCTTTTTTTTTAATTACTAAGTTTAATTATGTGGCTACATTATGGCTCCTCCATATGTGCATGTTCCACTCACCTTCCACCAAACCACCCGTGCCAATCCCCATCTGCCTCTTTTCCTACCAAGTCCCTCTGCTAACCACGAAATTATCTGACCAAGTCCAAGATTTATTCCTGCGGTATTTTACCTGGGTAGCTTTCTGGTTATTTATATTATACAATGAGTGAAAACATCAATTATCTTTCACTTTGGCTTATTTCACTTAACAAAATCACCTTGAGGTTCATCCATTTTGTCCAAAAAGACACTATTTTAGGGCATCCCTGGTGGCATAAGGGGTTAAGCACAGCACTATGAAGCTATCTGCAGCTTCTGCAGCATGACTTCCATCCCTGGCCAGGCCAGGGAGATACTCACATGGCACAGAAGATCTCTCCTGTCTCACCTGCTGCTCCCCTCAGCAGTGTATTTCAGTCAGTTTGCCCGTTCTGTTCCCTGTTCCCTGTCTCTGGTGCATCCTCTCACCCCACCCCCCCGTACCTCTGGCCTGTACCCCAGTTCTTGTATGCATAATCTTTTTTTAAAAAAAAAACAATACTATTTTATCATCTTTTAATAGCTGTGCAGTATTCAATTGGGAATATATTGCACAATTCCTTTGTCCATTCATCTGCTGATGGGCACTTATGTTGGTTCCACAATTTGGCAATTTTGGACAGTGCTGCCAGGCATACATAAGTCTTTTCTTATTAGAATTTCTTATTTATTGGATAAATACGTAGCAATGTTACTGCTAGATCACACGGTATTTCCATTTTTATTTTCTAAAGAAATCTTTATATCAATTTCCATAGAGGTTGCACTAACTTGCATTATCACCAACAGAGGGTAAGAATTCCTTTTTCAGGAACTCTCCTACATTGGTGGTGGGAGTGCAAACTGGTCCAACCACTATGGAAAGCCATCTGGAGGTTCTTCAGTCTACTAAAAATAGAGCTACCATATGACTCGGCAATTCCACTACTA